CCTCGGGGGGGTGGGGGGGGGGGTAATGTCTAATGTGCTGCTCGCCCCTCATCTTAAATGTATTTGAGTGGAAAACACAGAACTCCTGCAGCTCCGTTCTAAGCAGTGCAAGGATCCCAGCATAGGATGAAAGGTGCATACCCACCTGCTTCTGCTCTGTAGATATTGAGATTGTTCTCAGGAAGTCACTTTGCCTTACTATGATCATAAAAAAAAAAAACAGTGGTTCTGATGTGCGGAAGATGGAGCTCCCAGTGCAGCGAAGGGCCCGTGCCGGGGGTGCCACATTCCATACATCAGACGAACCGTAATCTGGCCTGAGCGGATCTTTCTGTATGTGATGTCTGGAACAATAAAGTTTTACAATGTGGCATTTGTCAAATGATCAAAAGGAAAAAAAAAAAACCCCAGATTGAATGATTTGCTTCCAACTAAAGTCCCGATCACCTTGTTTAATCCAGAACACCGCCTACATAGACGCCAAGCTGTTCTCGTCCGTCATCAACTTGGAAGTTGTAGAAATAATTTCCAGTTAAAAAGAAAGAAGACCATAAGGACCGCCATGGGAAGGAGCGCCGGGTCCAGGAACAGTTAATTCCCTAATTGCCTCCAAATGTGTTGTGCTGCTTTAATGGCTGACGGGCCGCTAACCGCCTAATTATTTAATGGCTGCTGGGGACGAGTGTGGAAACTATTAGGGAACTATCGGAGCAAAGGAGCCTGGGAATCTGGCCCGGCTCTGCCGGCGGCTTAAAGCGGCATTCCTCCTCCACCGCGCAGGGGGGAACTGGCCGGCTACGCTTTGGTGGGAAGGCGTTTTGGTTTTAGCAAGTGGGTAACGGGTCGCGGAGTTAGTTCTGTGACTCGCCCTCAGCTCCAGAGTAATGAGGAGTAAACGGAACTTTCATTTCCTTTTTGTTGTGCAATTCAAGAAATGGGAAAGAAAACTTGGCCAAGGGCTAAAAAGTAGGTGACGGAGTGCAGTGCCGGGCCGAGGGGTAGGCAGAAGTGGCGGCCTTCTTGGACAAAGCCTCCCAAGAAGAGTGAAAGCCGGTATGGCCACAAAGGAGGGCACCCTCGTATTAATGGCCATGGGGTGAGGGGAAGAGGCAACTCTATAGTAATGGCGGTGAGGTGAGGGGCTTCTCCATTTTAATGGCCATGGGGGAAGAGGCAACTCTATATTAATGGTCGTGGGGTGAGGGGCTTCTCCATTTTAATGGCCATGGGGGAAGAGGCAACTCTATAGTAATGGTCATGGGGTGAAGGGCTTCTCCATTTTAATGGCCATGGGGGAAGAGGCAACTCTATAGTAATGGTCGTGGGGTGAGGGGCTTCTCCATTTTAATGGCCATGGGGGAAGAGGCAACTCTATAGTAATGGTCGTGGGGTGAGGGGCTTCTCCATTTTAATGGCCATGGGGGAAGAGGCAACTCTATAGTAATGGTCGTGGGGTGAGGGGCTTCATTTTAATGGCCATGGGGGAAGAGGAAACTCTATAGTAATGGTCATGGGGTGAAGGGCTTCTCCATTTTAATGTGGGGGGGAAGCAGCTTCGTAGTAATGGCCGTGGTTTTGGAATGGGATGTCCAAGAAGCTCCTGTTGGTGTGATGTGTCCCCAGACTTGGGGCCCTGTAGATGCAGATTCTAGGGATGTGTGTAGCTTTTGGTTTTGCTGGATCTGCATTATCGGTGTCACCGTCTCCCACAGAGAAGTCACGTCCTCGGCTTTGTCTTGTTTCAGGAACAGTGACCTCTGACCGAGGAGAACACAGGAGCCCAGCAAGAGTCCGCGGTTCCTCCAGGCCCCTCGCCGTGTCCTCCACAGCGGGCCGACCTCTCTGGTCTGGAAATCTGCAATTATTTTGTTTTATATTTAATGTCGCAGCTGTTCGGACAATAAAGAAAAACTAAAACAAGCAAATGATGGTCTTTTTATTTTTTTTTTTAACCTCCTAAGCATTTCATTTTGCTGATAAAGTGATTGAGCGTTGCGGTAAGAAAAGACTCGTAAGAGTGAGCGCACATGCACTTTGAAATGGTGTCCTCTACACGACTAGTGCATGTTCCAAAAGTACCTGGTGAAGGATGATGTCCTGGGGAAGGGTAGGACAGTCCACTATGGTGTCCCAAGGAAGGGTGGGATAGTCCAAGATGTCCCAAAGAAAAAATGGGATGGTCCAGGATGATATCAAGAGGAAGGCTGAAACGGTCAGGGTTGGCGTCCCGAGGAAGGGTTGGATAGTCTGGCCTGGTGTCCTGAGGAAGGGTGGGCTTTCTGTTATGGTGTCCTGAGGAAGAGTTGGGTGATGTCCTGAGTAAAGGTGGAATGATCTGGGCTGGTGTCCCGAGGGAGGGACGTGTCCTGAAGAAGGGTGAGATGGTCTGGTATGGTGTCCCGAGGAAGGATCATTTTCCAGGCTGGTGTCCCATGGAATGGTGGGATGTCTGTAAGGTGTCCTGAGGAAGGGTGGGATGGTGGCCCGAAGAGGGGGTGGGATGGTGTCCTGAGGAAGGGTGAAATGGTCAGGTATGGTGTCCTGAGGAAGGGTGGGGGATAGTTCATGATTGTGGCCCTAAGAAGGGTGGAATGATCTGGACTGGTGTCCCAAGGATGGGTGGAACGGTCAAGGAGAGTGTCCCAAAGAGGGGTGACATGGTCTGGATTGGTGTCCTGGGGGGGGGTCCAGGATGGCTGTGATTACGTATAAAAGAAAACTTTTTTTTTTTTCTCTCTCTACTAAGACGAACATTTCTTGAGTGGCACATTTTAAAGCACATGTCCTACCTTTTTACTTTTCCCTGCAAGCATCTTCTCTCTGTTCCTTCCTTCCCTTCCTCTCTCGCCCGTTCCTTCCCTTCCTCTCTCGCCTGTTCCTTCCCTTCCTCTCTCGCCTGTTCCTTCCCTTCCTCTCTCGCCTGTTCCTTCCCTTCCTCTCTCGCCTGTTCCTTCCCTTCCTCTCTCGCCTGTTCCTTCCCTTCCTCTCTCGCCTGTTCCTTCCCTTCCTCTCTCGCCTGTTCCTTCCCTTCCTCTCTCGCCTGTTCCTTCCCTTCCTCTCTCGCCTGTTCCTTCCCTTCCTCTCTCGCCTGTTCCTTCCCTTCCTCTCTCGCCTGTTCCTTCCCTTCCTCTCTCGCCTGTTCCTTCCCTTCCTCTCTCGCCTGTTCCTTCCCTTCCTCTCTCGCCTGTTCCTTCCCTTCCTCTCTCGCCTGTTCCTTCCCTTCCTCTCTCGCCTGTTCCTTCCCTTCCTCTCTCGCCTGTTCCTTCCCTTCCTCTCTCGCCTGTTCCTTCCCTTCCTCTCTCGCCTGTTCCTTCCCTTCCTCTCTCGCCTGTTCCTTCCCTTCCTCTCTCGCCTGTTCCTTCCCTTCCTCTCTCGCCTGTTCCTTCCCTTCCTCTCTCGCCTGTTCCTTCCCTTCCTCTCTCGCCTGTTCCTTCCCTTCCTCTCTCGCCTGTTCCTTCCCTTCCTCTCTCGCCTGTTCCTTCCCTTCCTCTCTCGCCTGTTCCTTCCCTTCCTCTCTCGCCTGTTCCTTCCCTTCCTCTCTCGCCTGTTCCTTCCCTTCCTCTCTCGCCTGTTCCTTCCCTTCCTCTCTCGCCTGTTCCTTCCCTTCCTCTCTCGCCTGTTCCTTCCCTTCCTCTCTCGCCTGTTCCTTCCCTTCCTCTCTCGCCTGTTCCTTCCCTTCCTCTCTCGCCTGTTCCTTCCCTTCCTCTCTCGCCTGTTCCTTCCCTTCCTCTCTCGCCTGTTCCTTCCCTTCCTCTCTCGCCTGTTCCTTCCCTTCCTCTCTCGCCTGTTCCTTCCCTTCCTCTCTCGCCTGTTCCTTCCCTTCCTCTCTCGCCTGTTCCTTCCCTTCCTCTCTCGCCTGTTCCTTCCCTTCCTCTCTCGCCTGTTCCTTCCCTTCCTCTCTCGCCTGTTCCTTCCCTTCCTCTCTCGCCTGTTCCTTCCCTTCCTCTCTCGCCTGTTCCTTCCCTTCCTCTCTCGCCTGTTCCTTCCCTTCCTCTCTCGCCTGTTCCTTCCCTTCCTCTCTCGCCTGTTCCTTCCCTTCCTCTCTCGCCTGTTCCTTCCCTTCCTCTCTCGCCTGTTCCTTCCCTTCCTCTCTCGCCTGTTCCTTCCCTTCCTCTCTCGCCTGTTCCTTCCCTTCCTCTCTCGCCTGTTCCTTCCCTTCCTCTCTCGCCTGTTCCTTCCCTTCCTCTCTCGCCTGTTCCTTCCCTTCCTCTCTCGCCTGTTCCTTCCCTTCCTCTCTCGCCTGTTCCTTCCCTTCCTCTCTCGCCTGTTCCTTCCCTTCCTCTCTCGCCTGTTCCTTCCCTTCCTCTCTCGCCTGTTCCTTCCCTTCCTCTCTCGCCTGTTCCTTCCCTTCCTCTCTCGCCTGTTCCTTCCCTTCCTCTCTCGCCTGTTCCTTCCCTTCCTCTCTCGCCTGTTCCTTCCCTTCCTCTCTCGCCTGTTCCTTCCCTTCCTCTCTCGCCTGTTCCTTCCCTTCCTCTCTCGCCTGTTCCTTCCCTTCCTCTCTCGCCTGTTCCTTCCCTTCCTCTCTCGCCTGTTCCTTCCCTTCCTCTCTCGCCTGTTCCTTCCCTTCCTCTCTCGCCTGTTCCTTCCCTTCCTCTCTCGCCTGTTCCTTCCCTTCCTCTCTCGCCTGTTCCTTCCCTTCCTCTCTCGCCTGTTCCTTCCCTTCCTCTCTCGCCTGTTCCTTCCCTTCCTCTCTCGCCTGTTCCTTCCCTTCCTCTCTCGCCTGTTCCTTCCCTTCCTCTCTCGCCTGTTCCTTCCCTTCCTCTCTCGCCTGTTCCTTCCCTTCCTCTCTCGCCTGTTCCTTCCCTTCCTCTCTCGCCTGTTCCTTCCCTTCCTCTCTCGCCTGTTCCTTCCCTTCCTCTCTCGCCTGTTCCTTCCCTTCCTCTCTCGCCCGTTCCTTCCCTTCCTCCTCTCTCGCCCGTTCCCGCTGTGTGTTGAATTGAGGAGGCGGATTTATTAAGAAATGGGATTTTGTTTTTAGAATGGCGACATTTGGAGGAGGAAACGCGTCGTCGGCTTTTTATAGAGCTCCATAGCTGAGGTACAACCTACACATGTTGCTCAATGGGCTCCTTCAGACAAATATTTATCTTGTGACTAATTACTGAATCTTCCACCAGAAGGTCACTCCGTGCTACCAGCACGCTGCAGAACATTCCGCTTTTCTGGATTTGGATCTGTATTTTCCTTCCAATTTGTTCTCTCTGCAGATTGTTCCATCACTGACCTCCTATGGAGTTCTGCAGAACATTGCTCCATCGCCGCTCTGGAAGATGCAGATTATTCCGTTACTGGCCACTTTGCACATTGCAGCGTAACCGGCCGGTGTGGTGGCGCCACCTGTTGGTGAAGTCTGCACAGCTCCCTGTATTGTGGCCAATGCTTGTCCTTGACTTATATTAACTCTTAAAGGACCAAATTACTAATGTTTCTGCCCAATTTTCTTCTGCAAAAATAGATTGCCGTGTCAGTGTAACAAAGCTTTAGGAAGACTTTGTTTCCTGTCTCCGGCATCACTCCTCTATGCCCCTCCCACAATGGTGAGATTCCCCCAGTAGTTTGTGTCTCTGCCCCTCCCACAATGGTGAGATTTCCTCCAGTAGTTTGTGTCTCTGCCCTTCCCACAATGGTGAGATTTCCTCCAGTAGTTTGTGTCTCTGCCCCTCCCACAATGGTGAGATTTCCTCCAGTAGTACTCTCGCCCGTTCCTTCCCTTCCTCCTCTCTCGCCCGTTCCTTCCCTTCCTCCTCTCTCGCCCGTTCCTTCCCTTCCTCCTCTCTCGCCCGTTCCTTCCCTTCCTCCTCTCTCGCCCGTTCCTTCCCTTCCTCCTCTCTCGCCCGTTCCTTCCCTTCCTCCTCTCTCGCCCGTTCCTTCCCTTCCTCCTCTCTCGCCCGTTCCTTCCCTTCCTCCTCTCTCGCCCGTTCCTTCCCTTCCTCCTCTCTCGCCCGTTCCTTCCCTTCCTCCTCTCTCGCCCGTTCCCGCTGTGTGTTGAATTGAGGAGGCGGATTTATTAAGAAATGGGATTTTGTTTTTAGAATGGCGACATTTGGAGGAGGAAACGCGTCGTCGGCTTTTTATAGAGCTCCATAGCTGAGGTACAACCTACACATGTTGCTCAATGGGCTCCTTCAGACAAATATTTATCTTGTGACTAATTACTGAATCTTCCACCAGAAGGTCACTCCGTGCTACCAGCACGCTGCAGAACATTCCGCTTTTCTGGATTTGGATCTGTATTTTCCTTCCAATTTGTTCTCTCTGCAGATTGTTCCATCACTGACCTCCTATGGAGTTCTGCAGAACATTGCTCCATCGCCGCTCTGGAAGATGCAGATTATTCCGTTACTGGCCACTTTGCACATTGCAGCGTAACCGGCCGGTGTGGTGGCGCCACCTGTTGGTGAAGTCTGCACAGCTCCCTGTATTGTGGCCAATGCTTGTCCTTGACTTATATTAACTCTTAAAGGACCAAATTACTAATGTTTCTGCCCAATTTTCTTCTGCAAAAATAGATTGCCGTGTCAGTGTAACAAAGCTTTAGGAAGACTTTGTTTCCTGTCTCCGGCATCACTCCTCTATGCCCCTCCCACAATGGTGAGATTCCCCCAGTAGTTTGTGTCTCTGCCCCTCCCACAATGGTGAGATTTCCTCCAGTAGTTTGTGTCTCTGCCCTTCCCACAATGGTGAGATTTCCTCCAGTAGTTTGTGTCTCTGCCCCTCCCACAATGGTGAGATTTCCTCCAGTAGTTTATCTCTGCCCCTCCCACAATGGTGAGATTTCCTCCAGTAGTTGGTGTCTCTGCCCCTCCCACAATGGTGAGATTTCCTCCAGTAGTCTGTGTCTCTGCCCTTCCCACAATGGTGAGATTTCCTCCAGTAGTTGGTGTCTCTGCCCCTCCCACAATGGTGAGATTTCCTCCAGTAGTCTGTGTCTCTGCCCCTCTCACAATGGTGAGATTTCCTCCAGTAGTTTGTGTCTCTGCCCCTCCCACAATGGTGAGATTTCCTCCCAGTAGTCTGTCTGTGTGATAATATTTGCAGTGTCCGTTTCCTTTAAGCATCTGATAAACTACAACCTCCAACATGTCCCTGTAACGTGTCACTTGTATGAAGTTGATGAGCCACAAGATCTGCACTGCCCATTCACCAATCTTCATTTCACTTACATAACCCCCCCCCCCCTCT